ATCTCTCTCTCTCATGTACACATTATTCTATTATACATTACTATTTTAATGTTGTAAGCGTTCGTATTCACAATTATACAAAATCTTTTTTGGCATTTCCGTAAAAAAGATTTTGTATAATTGTGAATTCATGATACTTAATATTATTACAATAAAATCTTTTGTTATTTTTAGAATCACAATCAGAATTACAAAACTGGTTAAGCAAGAATAGAAGCAAACAAACCGCCGATTTAAATGTTGATGATGATTTAGGTATAATTTTAGTAATTTATATTTTATTACATAATACATCATGTACACATTATTCTATTGTACATTACTATTTTAATGTTGTAAGCGTTCGCATTCACAATTATACAAAATCTTTTGTTATTTTTAGAATCACAATCAGAATTACAACAAAACTTGTCAACCAGAAGCAATCAACAAACTGTCGATCCAACTGATGATGATTTAGGTTGTAGTAACTTATATTTGTTTTTTTAATGTTTTGAGTTAGTGTATACTTTATAATAGATTTTCGATATGTAATATATTTATTTTTAATATTGTCTAATATTGTCATTTCGTATTGTGAACTTTCATAATTGTGTACAATTCACATTTTATCTATATGTTTTTATAAGCATAATTACAATATTTTAATTGATTTACAGAAACTAAAAATTTTCGCCGATTTGTTATTAAAAAACTAATAGCTTTGGAGATGAAACTTAATATCATCCAAAGATATGAAAAGTTTAATTTACAAAGACAACCCGTTTATATGGATACAGAAGAAAATCAAGTCGATATTTTCCAAAACCTACCACTTAAAAATGAAAATGAACTTGAAGCAATGGAAAAGAAGTTAAACGACGACTCAACTTATAGAAAACATATGGTAAGTTATATCTCTGTTTTTTATTGCCTTTGTATTCTCCTTTGTTTATGATTTATTCGAAAGAGACTTTATGCTTTTTATTTATATAAAATGATTTTAAATCTATTAACGTTTTTGACTGGAATAATTTTAGTTTATTTTAGTTATTTTTTATGTTCTACATACAATAAATTTATGAAAATAATTGTAATTCAATAATATTAGAAAACAATTGAAAAATATTGTGAATGTAAATGTTTGTACGTTAAAAACAATATACATTTAATATACAATAGATAGATGAATATTAACAGGCAAGAGAATTTTATCACAAATATTTTAAAGTCGCATATTACTTTAAGACTGAGATATTAATATTTTCGCAAAAGTTTATTTGTATTTAGTTTTCCACCATAATAATTTTCTATTGCATTTCTCAAGATTTGAGTTTTCATCACAGTATATCTTCATTATAGCATTATTAATAGAAAGCTTTTTAAAGTAAAACGAAGTCAATCAATAACACTATAAAATATTCAACTGATATTAATAGTATAATAATATATTGATTATAGATTAAACAATTTGCCCGAATTCTATGCCAAGATATGAAAACTTCATGCATTCGGCTTATGAGGCAGATTTTCTCAAACGAGTTGGCAATGAAGTACAGTTGGTACGGAGTAAAGAAGAAAAGTATTTTCTCAAATCTACAATTGTGTAAAATAATAATGTGTAAGTAAAATAAATTCAGAATTGCAATTTTGAATTTTAAATTATTTAACGGCATAATTGTTCATATAATTAATATATATACATTTATAAATTATAAAAAAATAATAATATAGTATATACATTTATAAATATATAATATCTAGTGCAATTTATTTATTGAAGAAGCTTTTACAAATATTGGTGTTTCAAACAATTTTTTATATTCACATTGAAACAAATTGTTTTGAAAGTAATTAATACTTACAAATTATATGTTCAAAAATTAATATTTTTCAGGTGTGATAAGAAACTCTCATGCAAATGTAACAGATGATCAAATATCTGCTCCAATAAAAATTTGGTTGGCTCATGCAAAAGAGCGTGCTGCAAAAGAAGCTGCAAGAGAAACTGCAAAAGAAGCTGCAACAAATGATATTTAATATATTTTGATAGTTATCAATCAGTGGCGTAACGGTTTTGGCTGTGATTGCCCCGCAAAAAATATCCCCCCCCCCCCTACACACACACACACACACTCATACGCGCGCGCACACACACATACACAGTTGTCATAAGCTAATAAGTATCATTTTGTTTTTAGTCTGAATTTTTGTTTCAGCAAAGTTTTAATTTTTATTGATTAAAAATATATGGTATTGTACTTTACATGATAAAACTGTTAAGTATCAAATAATAATTAACAAAACTTCTAAATTTTTGTGAATCTTTACAATTAGGTACCGTAAAAGCCCCTAACTTTGTGACAGGGTCCTAACTATGTGACACTCAAGGTTTTGGCCAAACAGAGCTCTCTCGTGGTTCTGGATTAATCTTAAAGTTCGAAAAACGGTGTCGCTACCTCCAGAAATTTTTTCGAACTTTAAGATTAATCCAGAACCACGAGAGAGCTCTGTTTGGCCAAAACCCTGAGTGTCACA